GAAGCCATCTTGCTTCTATCTATGTTTTTAGCCAGAAACTTCTGAAAGCTGTGATCATATTCTTTTATGATTTTATCAGCACTACTGGGAGCCTCTGAGATTATTACTTTCTGAGAGTTTTGTAAGTCATTTTCTAGATTTGAAATCTTTTCTTTTAACTCAGAATTTTCTAATCTAAGACTCTCAGTTTCTTCAGAGTCAGAAGCAAGATCCTTTTTCAGTTTCTTGAATTTGACTCTGAGTCGCTGATACCTTTCCAGAATTTCACTTAGACTTTCTCCTAGTTCACCTTTGGTAAAATTAACCGTGAAGTCAGGAAATACCTCTTCTGTGTCTGATTCTGAGCCGAACCCAGATGCTTCGTTGTCTTCTTTCACATTTTCCATAAAAGCAATGTTAGCTCTTTCATCGTATGACTCTGAGTCAGAGTCAGAAGTATCTGAGTCATCCCATGTTGCCATGAGACTTTTCTTCTTCTCCTTGAAGAACTTCTTTTTGCGCTTATCCTTCTGAATCCTTGGACAATCACTTTTGTAATTCCCTTGTTCATTGCACTCATAGAAGATGATGTCTCTGTTGTTTGACTTTATGTGACCAGAGGAAGCTTCAGACCTTCTGTGTCTAGATGAGGGATCAGACTTTCTGTATCCGGAGGAGGACTCATTATGATTCCTTGATCTTCTGGAGTTTCTGAATTTTTTTTGCCCCTGCTTCCACAGCTGATTGACCATTCTGGAGAGAAGAGACAATTCGTCTTCTTCTGTTGAGGGTCCATCATAGGTTTCTTCCATAGCCTGCAAAACCTTAGATTTAAGTTTTTTGTTATATTTTAATTGTAAAGGCTTACCTTGCTTCTGAGGCTCGTCATCTTCTAGCTCTATCTCATGGCTTCTGAGGGAGCTAACAAGTTCCTCCAGAGATATCTTGTTGAGATCTTTAGCCAGCTTAAGAGCAGTGACCATTGGCCTCCATTGCTTTGGTAAACTTCTGATGATCTTCTTTACATGATCAGCAGTAGAATACCCTTTGTCTAGAACTCTCAGCCCAACAGCTAGGATCTGGAATCTTGAGAACATTTCTTCTATGGATTCATTGTCTTCCATCTTGAAAGCTTCGCATTTCTGAATGAGCGCAAGGGCATTGGTTTCTTTAACTTGTATGTTTCCTTTACGCGTCATTCTCAAAGAGTCAAACATGTTATTGGTTGTCTCTCTGTTTGAGATCTTCTCATACTTTGAGTATGAGATAGCACTAGGAAGAATTATTCTGGCCTTATGATGGTTTCTGAAGTCACGCTTTTGTTGGTCAGGCATTCTTTTTCTATCTATATTATGACCACTTTCATCCACTGGATTCATATATCCATCAATCACCATATCCCATAAGTCAACATCATGAGCCAGAAAGAAGCTCTCAATTCTATCTTTCTAGTAGTCAAAATTTTCTCCATCAAAGACTGGAGGTTTGCCGTTGATTCTGTCCTTATCATCATGATAGTCATTGCTGATGTTATGGCTTGGTCCCACCATAGTGTTTTTCTAAAGCTTGGATTTTGTACTGACACGGTTAAGTGTATAAACTCAGAACCAGGCGCTCTGATGCCAATTGAAGAAGTGAAAAACACAAGAAGGGGGTTGAATTGAAACTTAAAAATAAAAAGCAATAGACACGATATTTTTATCCTGGTTCACTTGATCTCAAACTACTCCAGTCCACCCGTCAAGGTGATTTCGCCTCTCTCCAACAAGGACTTAATTCACTAATCAAACTGATTACAAATCTACTTTGACAACTGCCAAAGTCTTCTTGAATACAACCACAACACGGTTTATCTCAAGGAAAATAACTTAATCAAAAGAAAAGGTTTATTGTGTACTGTTTGTTTTTCGTTACAAAAACTGTATCACTACTGTGATGTATTACACAAATTGAGTATAGTATGAATATGACTTTTTGCAGCTTTTTGAGATTAAATGTTGCAGTGTTTCAAAATCGTGAACGATTTACCCTTTGAACTTGTTTATATAGGCGTGACAAATCTGTCCAAATGGAAATATGATAATGGTCACATAATGCACTTTCAATACTGAGAAGATCCTTGTCTGAATGAAGTCGTTGCACATGATACTGCCTTAATGGAAAAGTAACGCTTCAGAACTAGGAATCTTGCATGCTGCTTTACTTCAAAACTTGGGAAGTCAGAAACATAAGGTTTTGTTTGCTTGTTGGACTCCCGTTCAGAATCAGGATATCTTTCTCTTTAGCGCAAATTTTGATCATCATGCTTTAGAATATTCTGATTACTCAGCTTGAGTGCTTCTGTGGCTTAACTTCTGATGTCGTTTCAATCAGAACTTTTGTACAACATAAAACACAAATTTAGAGTGCATATTTGTTCTTTGTGTTTGTTATCATCAAAACTCTTATGAGGGTTGTAGAATCAAACTATGTTCTAACAAAGGCATCCAAAAAGAAAAGTAGTGCATCATTCACCCGTTCTTCAGAGTGCAAATTTTTGGGTTCTTTTAGTATTTAATCTGCTTTTACCTTTAATGTTTGAAAGGCTAGCGCCAATCTCACCTTCAGGTTGAAGGTGATTAAATAGGGGAAGTTGTTGCACCCCAAAAGTTTCCCTCCTAATTTCTTTTATTTGGCTTAGACTTAGCATCGCATTCACATCTTTTCATTAGGCCATTAGCATATCATGAATTTTCATTAAAAAAACACCTTAGATTTAAACGATCAACTATCAACAAAATTAGGGTTTCTCTTGGTGTATTCATCAAATAGAGATTGATTCATCTGGTTTTTATTTTTCTGAGGAGCAGTGGAATTAGGGTTGTGATCCATGGTCATTGGGAATTTCTTTCTTCATCAAGCTACAAGGCTAGTAGGGTTTATTTCCCTATGTTTGAGTAAAGATCAGGGCTTTTCGGCTATTGTACTCCAATGGAGGTTCTTCTTCAGGAAACATAGATCATGAGATTATGGTTTGTTTTTTTCATCAAGGGACTTTCTCAGAGGGCCTTATATTGTGTGTTAAGATAACTTCTTTTGTGCATCAAGAATTATCTTCTTCAAGGGAATTCCTTAAAGACTTTAGCCTTACATTTTCAAGTGGACATGTTCGTAACTTGAATTACAAAAGCTGAAGCACAATACAAGATATGATGCGAGGGAGCATTAAGTGAGTTAGAGGCATATGAATAAAGGCTTTGATTTTGGGAAAAGACAATATGAACTTAGTCATTTTCTTGACTAATTTCATCCATGAATATTCTTGATTCGATTGAATATTATGTCATATCTTAAGTTCAAGACTTATTCATTGAATATGCGAGTTGGTTGGAATTCATTCGTTAAGTTTTGAAGTGAAGTGTTCAGAGGATAATCAAATGGAATTAAAATTTTTTAAGCATTGGTTTGTTTTCGAGAATTTGATTCAAGCATGTTTGGAAACCTTATTCATAAGAGTTTCTTAGAATGTAAGTTACAAGTACAAATATGCTTGCAAGCTTACAAGACATTTCCATGTTACATGGATTTACATCAAAAATAAAAACGTATGCTTATTCCTTAATGTTCATTCACTTTCATGCTCTCATATCGTCCTTCATTCTCCAAGACCACTTCACTTCCTCTAAGTGATCTTCATGTTTCAATGTTTATTCATGTTCCCAAGGCCTTCATAACTTAATTATGACATGCCCAAGAGGATTCCATCTTTCAAACTCTTCAAACTTTCAAACTAAACCATGTCATACCTTGCTAAATAAACCTGCTTGTTCACCATAAGAGAACCAAATAACAAAGTTAGTCAGCATATCAAAAACAGTCCTTGCACATCACAATAGCCAGAAATCCAGCCCAATTTGCAAATTCAAATACAAAAGAAACAATTAACCCACAAATAAACCTGCAGAAAACCAGTCCAGAAGTAGTTCAATTATCGATTTATAATTGATATTTATAAAAGAACCCAAAAACCATATAAAAAATTACAAAATCCTAACCAATTTCTAACAAGCTTCCAACAAACTTCAACAAAGTTACTAACAATTTTTCAAAGTTTTTCACACTTACCTCTGATTGAACTGAGTCGTGCAGCATAAAAAAAAAATGCAGAAGAAAGTTTTTGTATCAAGAAAATAAAGAAGGAATTATTAAATCAGAAAATATTCAAAAACAAAATTTTCCAACTCAATATCTGATGCAATCCTAGCCATCTATTTTAGTAATAAACTTTTGAGATCAACAGCTCAGATTCAATCTCATGTAACCAACTTTTCATACACTTAATAGAAAGATAAAAGAGAAATCACCTAGCCTCGATATTCATTCTTCAACTACAAAAGAATCACCAGAAAAATACAGAAAAATCTCTCAACTTTCTCGCTACCATTCATCATCATTCTTCATTCTGCAGAATAATCACAAAAAACCTTCTCTTTGCTCCTCTCATCTTCATTCTTCAACTTTTGAAGAATCACCACCAAAACATGCAAGCTTCTTCTGAAATTATCTTTGCTCCATATCCATCTTCGTCATTGATCCTCTCAATACTCACTCTGTTTAAAATTGCAAAATCATCTTCCTCAATGAACTTCATCAATTTCTCTCATTGTAACACATTTTCATTATCAACCCGTAAGTGCATCCTCATCCGTAACAACATCAATGTTCCATCATCTTCGTAGAACAAGAATTCAATGCACACAACAAAAATGCAACAGCGGAGACGCCAAGAACGAAAAGAACAAGAAGAATAAGATTGAGACAAGAACGCACGTACTTGATTCTACGGATTTCTCTGGTTTTCTCATCATCTTCATCAAGACGAAGAAGTGTCGGACATTCTCTGGCAGGTAAGCTTTGATGCTTTCTTTTTTATCGTGTGTACTATGTTTTGTGATGGAATCGATTGAAGAGTTTGAATTGGTGAAAGCCAGGCGGAAAAAAAGTCGTTCACAGAGGATTGAATTACAAACGAGACCGTGAGGATGAATCTAAGAGGATATGAACACCGAGATCATGAATGGAGTGAGACAGAGTCTCTGTCATCGTCGAAGAAGGTCGAAGCAAAGGTTATGGTGAAGACTCATATCAATGGAGTTTCATCTGAGATGGATGTTAATCAAGGTCGTGAGGTCATCTTCGGAGTTAGAAGGATATACCATCACGGGTGAGATGAGGGAGAAGGGAAGTGTTGCAGAAGTTCAATAGTCACAAAAAATTCCACTCTAATACTATTTCAATTTTCCATTCTTTTTATTATTTTTATTTGTTATTTTCATTTTTTTTTTGTTTTTTTAAAATCAATGATAGTTCTGATAATAACTCATGGGCTGGATATGAATTGTTTGGGATGTTGGATTAAGAGAAGGAGTTTCAATGTCAGTCTGGGCCTAGGCGTCAGACTTGTTTCTGTACACTACCCAGATCCTAACTGCACCCCTTAAAGCCCATAACAACTAATTTTTTGGCATCCTGTTAGCTTGTGTTACAAAAATAGCTTATTGGATTCAACCTGATAGGCCTTAGCGCCTCCACTACATCAACACCCCCTGATTCCAATTCTCACTCCTCCTATTTAAATTTTTAGAGTTTTCCTTAGATTTTCTTGCTCATTTTTTTAATGAAAAATGGTGATTTTAGGAACTAATAAGGACAATAAAAAATATGTAGAATTTAGGACTTTCTTTTAATTTTTTCTAATTTTTTTGTTTCATGATAAAAAATTATAAAATCAATAAAAAGTTGTTAGATTTTTTATTTGATTTTTTGGAGTTGATTCATGATTATCCGATTACTCAAGACTTGTGATTCACCTTTGATTGTTGAGATCTGAGTCTTATGCAAGTTTATTGTGCGATATGTGGACATGCTTGAGTTTCCGATTATGATTTATTTTCACATCGATGATGCTTCAACAATTATTCCGAGCATTTGATTTATGACTCTTTTCTTTGATTGGTGAATCTTTCGCAAAGATCGTCAGATTTCTTTATTTTGATACGCTTTGCTACGGATTGACACCTGCTTGGTATTTTCTCTTGTTTATCTCATTTCAGCATTTTATTGTTGTCTAGATATCATGAGAAGTAGGAACTTTACTGCTTTTTAGATATCATGAGAAGTAGGAAACAAAGAGCGTGTGCTTGAAGTAGCTATTTAAAGTCCTGTAGCAAGCACCGCTTTCTGTATGTTATTTGTATTTGTTTAAAATCCTACCTTTGAAGTAGGTATTCTACACGTGTGTTTACATGTGTGCCCGCATTATATTACAGATGATAAGTCCTCAAAAGGAGGAGAGCAGAGAGGATTAGCAATCAACCCTCGCACATTCTAGTTTATGTCATCCTTAGCTCACGTTGTACATCGATGCTTTAGAATTATACAGATTTTGTGTATCGAGTCGGTCATGTGGAGAAGGGTTCGCAACCAACCCCACACTTTGTCAGAAGTTCGCAATGGCCATTCCTGATACTTCTCTACCCCCTTGTTTGCTTCGGGTGATCCGCTCCCCTTAACTAAAGCATTTGTTTTCTTTTTTTATTTTATCTGTCTCCTGTTTGTTTGCTTCGGGTGATCTGCTCCCCTTATCTAAAGCATTTCTCTTGTTTCCTCCATCCCTTTTAGTCAGTATGTGCTACTCATGTTTGTGTGCTTTTGCCAAAGCACTTGTTTGCTTATTTGTTTTCTATATTATGCTTCCCATAGAATCACTTGATTAGAGTAGCTTTTGAGTTAGACATTAGGATAGGTATCCATGCATGCTAAAATAGGGTAGAGATTTCCCTTTTAAACTCAACCATAGGATCCATTATTGTAAGATAACATTAGGGATTAGATTTAAGCTAGCTTCCCTTAGATGCTTGGCTTTCTTTTTCATCCTTTCCTTAAGACTTAAACTCTTCTTTCTTGGCAAATCATAAAAAACCTAACAATTTTCAACTCCTTCTTCAAGGTAAAAAATATCAACCAATGCAAATTCTTTTGCGCCTTTGAAACTTTCTTTCAAACGTTTTCAAAGGAACATGTTAATTCACTTATGTGCTGATGCGTGAGTCTCCAAAGGTTGAGCTGCGACAGAAGGAGAAATTAATATTATTCATTAAAAAATACAAAGCAAACCAAAATATGTTAGCCTAACTACGACTGCTTTGATTCCTTAAAAGAGATACATAGGCATTGGGGTAGGGCCCGGACGAGCACAACTTTATTTTCCCTACATTATTTTCTCTTTTCTTTTGAAAACATTCCTTGTACAACTTACATATAGATTTTTACACACCCTTTGACTAGAAAAACAAGAGTGGATATCGTAGAGCACTACGGGCGTGTGGGGTACTAATACCTTCCCTTCGCATAACAGACTCCCTTACCTGATCTCTTGGTCGTTCGACCTTGATTTCACCCTTCTTAGGTTTACTCGATGTTTAACTTTCTCTTCTCATGGGATAAAAAATGTTCGATGGCGACTTCATTGATTTCATCTCGATGATTTGTTTAGCCGGTTGTTTCATATATACTTAGCAAACTCTTTTCCCAACGAGGCTTTAGTATATCCAAATATAATATCATCAACGTAAAATTGACAAATCAGAATGTAATTTTTAAATGTTTTACAGAATAAATTTGTATCCACTTTCCCTCTGGTAAATTATTTTTCTAAGAGAAAGTTACTGAGTCTTTCATACCAAGCTCTGGGAGCTTGTTTCATACCATATAACAATTTCTTAAGTTTATAAACATTCTATGGATGTTTTTTGATTTCAAATCCAGGGGTTGGTTCATATATACTTCTTCATCAATGTACCCATTTAAAAAAGAACTTTTGGCATCCAACTAATAGAGAGAGTGATATCATTATTTACAGCGAATGAAATTAAAAAGTCTGATAGGTTCTAACTTGGCGACTGGAGCAAAGGTCTTTGTATAGTCTATCCCTTCTAGTTGATGATAACCTTGTGCAACCAGTCATGCTTTTTTCTGACAACTTCTCCTTTTTCACTTAGCTTGTTTCTGAAGACCTATTTAGTTCCAATGATATTGAAGCCTTTTTGTTTCGAAACTAGATCCCATACATCATTTCTGGTAAATTGATTTAGTTCTTCCTTCATTTCAAGTATCCAATCATTTTCTTGAAGTGCTTTGTCTATAGTGGTTGGTTCGATCAGAGATGCCAATCCTATGAGAGACTCTTCAGTATTTCTGAACGTAGATCTTGTTCTGATGGGATCATCCTTCTTTACCATAATCATATCTTCAGGATGTGCTAATCTGGTTCTGGATTGTCTTTTCTGGATGGGTTCTTTAGAAGTTTTTGTAGTGTTGGTGTTGATGTATTTTTCTGCATTGGACTGAGTTTCTGAGCTTTTGCCTTCACAAGATCTATCTTTAGTACATTTAATTTGAACATCTATATCTATAAAATTTTCCACCTGCTTTGACGTTTCAGAGCTAAGCTTATCATCAAATCTGACACTGATGGATTCTTCCACAATCTGTGTTTGTGTTATATACTCTATAACCTTTTGAGCATTCAAAGTATCCTAACATAAAACACTTTTATGCCTTATAATCAAACTTGTTTAGATATTCTTTGGTGTTCAACATATAATAGATACATCTAAATGGATGGAATTAAGAAATGTTAGGCTTTATGTTCTTCCATGGTTCATATGGATTCTTTCCCAGAATAGGTCTTATGGAGATTCTATTATGAATGTAGCACTCTGTGTTAACTGCCTCTGTCCAGAAATGTTTAGCAATATTAGTCTCATTGATCATAGTTATGGACATTTCTTGTAGAGTTATATTCTTTCGTTCTACAACTCCGTTTTGTTTGGGGAGTTCTAGGACAAGAGAAATCATGAGAAATGCCATTTTCATTAAAAAAACTTTTCAAAACTTTTATTTTCAAACTCTCCACCATGATTACTTCTGAATTTTACAATTCTAAACTTCTTTTCATTCTGAACTTGGTTACAAAATGTAAAGCACACATAGTGTGACTCATCCTTGTGTCTTAAGAGCTTTACCCATGTCCATCTACTATAGTCATCTATGATCACTAATCCATACTTCTTGCCGCTGAAGGATGAATTTTTCACTGGTCCAAATAGATCTATATGAAGAAGTTCTATTAGTCTAGAGGTAGAAATAATATTTTTAGATTTGAAAGAGGGTTTTGCAAACTTGCCTTTTTGACATGCTTCACATAGAGCATATAAGATGAACTTCAATTTAGGAAGTCCTTTAAACAGATTGAGTTTGTTTATCTGAGATATTCTTCTCATACTAACATGCCCTAATCTTCTGTGTCAGGCCCATTGCTCATCGTTAACAGACATAAGACATTTTTCATTTTGACTCTTTAGTTCAGAAAGTTTAATCTTATAAATTTGTTCTTTCTCTTACCATTAAAAAGGATAGTTCCATCTTTCTGACTAACTATTTTGCATGATTTTTTATTAAAGATTATATCATAACTGTTGTCACTTAATTGACTCATGGATAACATTTTATGCATTAATCCATCTACTAAGAGAACATTAGTTATAGAAGAAAGTGTGCCATTATCAATAGTTCCAGATCCAATTATTTTTCCTTTCTGATTTCCTTCGAAACCTACATGACCTCCAAGTTTATTTTCCAGACTTTGGAATATATGCTTTCTTCCTGTCATGTGTCGAGAGGATCCAAAGTCCAGGTACCAAGACTGGTGTTTCAACTTTGTTGTTAAAGACATTTGCAACATAGATGATTTTATCCTTAGGTACTCATATCTTTTTGGGTCCTTGTTGGTTAGAGTTTCCATAATTTTGATTGAATGTTGGTTTATCAGAAGAGTTCATAGAATAAGATTCAGTAGTGTATTTTATGTCATGTTTGTGTACATATATGAAATGTGAATTTAGGGGTGTGTATTTTATGACCATGTCATCAACTTTTTGTTGGTTGATATGGTTCTTTCTCTTTTGGTTTTAAATATCATATACCTTTTCTGCCATTTTTGCTAACTCCATAGATCATTGAGGCCATCTTGCTTCTATATATGTTTCTAGCTAGAAAATTTTGAAAGATGTGATCATATTTTTTTATGATGTTATCAGAACTATTTGAAACTTCTGGTACAAATTTTTTTGAGATTTTTGTAATTCGTTATTAATGAAGGAATTTTCATTTTTAATTTTATAATTAATTTCTTTTAGTTCAGAGTTTTCTGTTTTTAGTTTCCTAGTTTCTTCAGTTTCAGATACAAGATCGTGTTTCAGGTTCTTGTATTTGATTCGAAGTTGCTGATATCTTTCAAGAAATTCAGACAAACTATCTTCTAATTATGATCTAGAGAATTTTGAAAATACCTTTTCT